GAATGAGCTTTTATATGAAAGTTTAATCTAACCTAAAAAGGTTGTGTAAAAATCTATTTTATAGAATGTCATTTTAATTAAGAATAAAAAAAAGTCGCCCTTCACATTAATTACCATTATGAATTATAGGAAATCACAGGATGTGACTTCAACGGGAAACATTGGCTTATGTAATGAAATGGTCTCATTCTCTCTTTGTTTAGAAAGAAAAATAAAAGTTAGTTAATAGAATCACTAAAAAAAAATTGTTATACAGTATAGTGACATAAGTATATATATATATATATATATATATATATGACATAATATATGTCACTAAAAATTACTTTTCTCCACATAATAAATATAATATATGTTGATATATTATTAAAAAATGTAAGTATAGACTATAATGACACACAAATATGTTGTTAAATCTCATTTAAAATAAACACTAAAACTGTATGTAACTATATGTTAAATAGATATATACTTACATATATTATATCTATAGTGATATTTTTTGTATGTTATTATATGTAACATTTTTTATAGTGAACTTTTATTAAGTATGTGTTTGAATTAGAATTAAAAAATTGAATTGATTTGAATTTAATTTTTTAATTTAATATTAAAATAAAATCAAAATTTTTCTTATTTTCAAGATTTTCTTAGAATTTAAACTCAATAAAATTTTTAAAAAAAATATTAATCATATAAACACTAGTTGCGTTCGAAATCAACTAACTAAATGCATAATGCAAACGTGTAATCAATCCAAACGTGTAATGAAACAATAGTGTGAAATATTAGTATGCTAATTAAACACTTTCTATATGTTAGGTATTTTTCCTAATTATAATAAATAAGCTTTAAGTATGGTCTATAGAGCACTCGACTAAATTAATGTGATTTGACTATTTCCTAATTTTACCAAATCTAATTTTAATGATAAAAAGCCATGCATAAATTATAAGTTTCTAAATTTTACCGCCAGAAACCAAAACTCAGTTACACCCAATTAATATCTCATAATAATTTCTTCTAAGGACAAAATTTAAATTAAGTTTTTCTTATATAACCTTACCACTTTGAATCAAAATACATTGTGATATAGATACATTTTTTGCTAGCTTCTATTAATAAAAAACATATCTCTAATTAAATAAAAGAATATAAATATTAATTAATGTTGTACTAGTTAAAAAAACCAATGAAAAAATTATTAATAAATTGGTGAATGATGTTCTCACTTTTTAATGTAATGATATTTTTTTTCTTCTAATTTATCGTTTCATAAGTTATTCAATTACCACTTAAAAATAATATATTTATTGATAAATTAGGTTATTTTAATAAAGTTGTATAAAAAATATATATATATTTATTATAATTTTTAATTTGTGTATAAAAATCTTAAACTGTGTGGGATGAATAATGAATTGAGTATTTATCATATGAAAAGTCCAAATTGCAGTTAACATTTACTCTTTTATTGGAAGACTTAAATAGTGTGGTTTTCAAATTCTTTTAACTTGGTTTAGCAAGATCTAGAGAAAAAAAATTATCTACCATTATTTAATTTGAAAGATTGTGTGATTATCCTTTTCTTCGCTCGATTTCTCTGTGTCTCAATCACAAACACAGAAAAAAGTACACTCAATTTTCCTGTAACAAATCCTTTCACCTTGTCTTCAATAGCTGATTAAGTTAGGAAAAGATATATACCCGATTAGCAGCCTCCAACAAATGAAGCTTTTCCACTAATTAACCAAAATTTCAAACGCGTGCTCTTCTTTTCTGGGTCATGATTCTCCGAGACAAAAACTGAAAAATCAAAGGGTTCTAATTCTATTGGTCAACCTTAGATTCCATTTGTCAGCATCCATGTAGACTGTGTTTCTCCATTGATCTATCCCCACCCTTTGCTCCTGTCTAAAGAAAAAATGATTGCACACCAATAATATATATTGAATCAAATAAAGCACATTTAGATAATTGCTAGATATTCAACCGATATATGTATAATAATAAATCAACTTTTGTCATCCTATGTTTCTTGTCCAATTGCAAAAAATGACCATATTGTCACCATTGCAAAAAATGACTTGCTTTGATTGCTAACACTTTAATCACACAGACTATTGTAACTGCAATCATTTGTCATCCTTGCATCAAAACAAAACAGAAAGTCATATTGTTAATATGTATGACTTTTTATTTGTAATGGTATTGTCCTCCATTTATTTTGATCATTTAAGTGTTTATGTAAGGGGTACTAAATGAGTCTAAAAATATTAAATAAAAATTTGTAATATTTAAAGGGACTAATTAACAACATAGACAAATGGTACTTAATAAAAACTTTTTAAACTAAATGGAAAAATTAAACAATTTTTTTAATTAGAATAACTGTACCATGTTTAAACTATTAATCAGTTACATTTAAACCAAAAGTTAACAACTATCATATATATATAGAGAGAGGAGGAGGAAAGATCTATTTACTTTAAGAATAAGTTTGTTTAGACTTATTCTGCTCAATAATTCATGTTTTACATCAAATTTTAATAATTTAATGGTTGAATTAAAATTTTTAAACATATAGATCAAGTTTAAAGCTTAAGGTTTATGATTTAAAATTTTTAAAATTTTAAAAGTTATTTAATATTTTATTTATTAATTCAAATTAACGTATAAAATATTTTTTATAATTATTTGTCATTTAAATTAATAAAATAAAGTATTAAATAATTTTTAAATTAAAAAAATTATAAATAAAGTTATCTCATATTAATGTTATTGTAATTCTCTTTATTATTGTTGACATCTTTATTATTGTAATGATTACCACAATACTACCTCCACTATATCACATACTATTGTCATTTTCGTTATTATCATTGTCGTTATTACCACCACCACTATTGTAATCACTGTTATCTTCACCATCATCAGTGGTAGTGGTCATTATGGCAACAAAAAAGAGAACTCACAATTATATGATAATATTAAAGTTCTTTACATTATGAGTGTATGGACCAATGAAAAGTCACAAGAATATCACATAAATGTAAATTATGTATGTCATCCAATGTGGTCACTTTTGGGTGCCGTGCGTGTATATATACTTCGAAACGAATAAAATTTAGATGATTTTTTCAAGTATTTATAGTATTAATGTTTAAATTAAAATATGGGTATTACATTTTGTTTTAATGGTAAATATTTTAAAAAGAATATTATGTAGTAAAAACTAATATATATTATATATTTTTCATAAAATAACATGTTACAAGCACATCTAAAGATTTTTATCAAGTTTTTTTCTTTTGGGAATATCACCTTAATCAATCTTAAGAAAATCACATATCTAGTGTAGCTTATAAAGCGGTTAAATTAATGCAATAATAATTTAATCTAAGTACCTTGAAGATAAATTTATGCTCCAAAGTTGTCGTTTAATTTAATTAGTCCCAAAATATGTGCAGGGATGAACAACCAAACATAATATATTTCAAGCAAAATATACAAGTAACTCGCAGATCCAAGTTTTTGCATTGAATGGCTGGTCAGTGAATACATGGAGAAAGAAAGTTTCCATGATTTGTTTTCTCTTTTCCTTTGCCTTTTGTTTTTGTTTCTTTCCCTGCACAT